TTCCAGCCATGCTGACCTGCCTGACCTTTGCTCCATCCAGGGTGGGGGCACCGTCCCTGGCAGTCCCAGATGCCAAAGCGCTGGCCCAGACCACCAGCCTCTGCTTGCCCCCAGTCTTAGAGTGAGGAAAGTGGGGATGTCTAAAAGGGGAGAGGGTGGCATCTTGAGATCCCTGGGAAAGGACTTGTCCCGCACGTTCACCGGGTCCAGAGAGTGGACCCATCCCCACACCACGAAGCAGAGAGCTAGAGTAGGGGCAGGGGCCCTGGCAGGCTGAGCCAAATCACACAGGGACAAAGGGACTCTGTGAATCATTTGGGTTCTCTGTGAATCGTTCGGATGCAGGTTACAGGAGAAAGGTATAGTTAGGACTGGGGGTTGGGCAGATGGGGATAGGGAGGAGACGGAAACGCATGATGCTGAGAGTCAAGCTGAGCCAATGTGGCCACACTGTGTTCCCTTGGACAGGATCACTAGCCAGGGGACTCTAGCTTTTCCGTAGCAATAGTACAGAAAGTTTTACTTTTTTCTTGACTGTCATCGTTCCATTAATTTGAAAGAATCTACGCACACCCGCACTTAGTACAGTAGCCGGACTGTGGAAACAACCCAAGTGGAATACTATGCAGCCCTTAAGAAAGAAAATACAATTGGCAGCAGTTTAGGTGGACCTAGAGGCCATCATATGGACTGAAATCAGTCAAAAGGAGAGGGATAGGTGGAGAAGGATCTCTCTCATGTATGGGACTTAGAGATGCACAGCTAGGAAGCAACCCAGGGCCCAAAGCAACACAACTCATCTGAGTTTGTGGCATGGGGTAGGGGTGCACGGTTGAAAGCGAGGGGTCCAGGATCCTTGGGGAGAGGGAAGTGGGTACACTATTGGGTGGGGGGGTCAGAATTATTATATACCTAGAAAATCATCATGGATAATAGTGTAAATGAGAACCTCATTCAATTTTTTTTTTCAAATAAATTGCTGCCTTGAATGACAAAACATTTGGAAGAGAGGCCGAGTGGGTCACTTTCTGGGTGACACACAGGTGGAGCGAATGTGGCACTGTGCTCTCAGCATTGCTGGAACCCCTGGGGGATGCGGGACATCTCCGAGCCCTTCCTTCCTCTGGGCCAGAGGTGGGGATAGTGCGGGAACCTGATCCTGACCTGAAGTGGAGGAGGGAGGGCCCGTGGTCCTGTTCCTCCACGTCTCGGTTCTGCCTTTTCCCAAGTTACGTGGCTTTGGGACTTTCGTGCCACTCAGAGTTACTGATGCAGCAGATTGGTCGCAAGCAATCCCTGTTATTTCTTCCTGTGTCCGAAGGGTGGTTCTCTGCAGGATTTGCAAAGAGGCTGACGCTTTGCTAAGCTTGAGGGTCTCCAGCCGGAAGCCACGGGATTTGGGTGCCCATGTTGCCGGCAGCCCTTGGACGCTCTGCCCGGCAAGGAGTACCGTAGCACTGACCTCCCATTGTTCATCGATTTTCTTGAGCGGGCACCAGTAACGTCTCCATTGTGAGACTTGTTGTTACTGTGTTTGGCATATCGAATACACCACGGGGAGCTTGCCAGGTTCTGCAGTGCAGGCGGGATACTCTCGGTAGCTTGCCGGGCTCTCTGAGAGGGGCGGAGGAATCGAACCCGGGTCAACCCAAAATGCACCTCAGGAGGCCCTTCTTGACCTCACAGGCTCACCCTGGGAGTTGGAAGGACCCGGCTCTGGTGAGGGAGCTGGACTAAGATGAAGGCCAGGCCCGGGAAGCAAACCCCGAGTTTGCTGAGTTTCTCTCTGCCTGCGTCCCCTCGGGCGGTGGCTCCGAGTAAATTAATTTCCGCAACTCCACAGACCATTTTCTTGGTGTAGCAAGTCCTGGGTGATTAAGTTCTCTGACTTACAAAGCTCCCCCCTCCCTCCTGGGCTGGTTCGCTGCTCCTTTCCTGCCTTTCGTAATGCATTTCCCTGAGCATTTAGGGAAACAAATGTGGGAATCATAAAGAGCACGGTCCTCCCGTTGTTCATTGATTTGCTCGAGCGGGCACCAGTAACGTCTCCATTGTGAGACTTGTTACTGTGTTTGGCATATCAAATACGTCACGGGGAGCTGGGATATTCATGGGGGTGGGATATTCTCGGTAGCTTGCTGGGCTATCCGAGAGGGATGGAGGAATCAAACCCGGGTCGGCCGCATGCAAGGCAAATGCCCTACCTTGCTGTGCTATCGCTCCAGCTCAGGAGTCGTAAATATAAATACGGAGCATGGGGAATTTTTTTCAGTGGCTGGAAGCTGCCCGAAACTCCTCCTGAATCAGTGTCACCGCACCCCAAGTAGCTCACCAAGAGCCAGACGGGCCACTTGAGGGGGCGCAGGGCACCATTGCGGGGACCGCCACACACAGCACTGAGCCCAGGGGCCAACGCGGCCACGGCCACGGGCAGCCTCTGCCCTGCGCCCACAGAGGGAAGCACCTGTCCCTCCCGTGGTTTCCTTTTTCCTCTCCCTGCCCTGCTCGCTTTACACTCAGACACGCCGAGAGTCTGTCCCCACGAGCATGCGGGGAGGGTGGCCGGAAGGAAGGGAGTCACGGTGGTTTTAGCTCTGCTTCCGCAGAGCTGGCCACAGAGCGGTCACTCAGCCATACTGGCCAGTGCGACAGTCGGGGTGAAAGGCCCCAGCCAGAGCTGCCCCCTGGACACGCCCTCCTCGTCGCTGGCTGATCAGGAGGGGAGGTGGGAAGGCCCAAAGCCTCCCAGGAGGAAGGGCCAAGAACGTGAAAAAGATAAAGGTGGCAGGGACTGGAGCGATAGCAGAGCGGGGAGGGCATTTGCCTTGCATGCCGCTGACCCAGGCTCGATCCCCAGCATCTCCTAGGGTCCCCCGAGCACCACCAGGAGTAATTCCTGAGCGCATGAGCCAGGAGTAATCCCTCCCTGTGCATCACTGGGTGTGACCCACAAAGCAAAAATAAATAAATAAATAAGGTAAAAGTGACAGCCTATAGCCTCAGCTCTTGGGGGGCGAGGGGCGGCGCGGGGAGAGGCAGGGGACGTGATGGGAGGACAGAGAAGAAGAGGTGAGGAGTGAGGATGGCTCTCAGACCTCGCCAGTCACCCCGGGCTTTTTCAGGGGTATTCCAGGTGACCTCCGCTCAGCAAAGCTAAGTCAAATATACACTTTGCTGATGTCAGAAAAACACCCGGTACATCCGGGAAGAATTTCAGCACACAGCGTGCTTTCCGAGGGTAAACCCGCAGCCCAGGGCCCCCCGGGGCGGGCAGCTGCAGAGGTGAGCTTGGCCTCTAGGGGGCCCTCGAGTGAGCCTCCAGGCCCACCCCAGAAGTCTGCAGCCAGTCGGAAGAGACTGCATGGGGCAGGGCCAGGCCTTTGTAATCGCTAAGTGCATGGCAGGGTCGGGCAGAAGGCGTTTTCTTCAGGCTTCTGAAGACCCGTTTGACGGAATTGCTTGGCAGAGCTGAGCAGCAGCGACTGGTTCATTTTTCCTTTCTTTCCCTGCCCCCGGACTGGGGTTTTTGAAACAGTTGGACCAGGCAGGACCCAGGGGTTATTAGCATTTGTAGATTGAATCTGGGGGTAAAACATTTGCTCTGGGGTTGGAAGATAGTGTAGCAGGGAAGGGGATTGCCACCACATAGGGTCCCCGGCTGAGCATTGCCAGGGTTCATTCCTGAGCACAGAAACAGAAGCAGGAATATCCCCTGAGCAGAGCCAGGGGTGGTCACTGAGAAGGTTTTGAGTCATCCAAACGAAGAACTCCAAGTGTGTGGGGGGTGGAGGGCAGGTAAGAGAGAGAAGAGGCCAGTATGACAATAATAGCTGGGAGGGAGGGGGCTGGAGCGATAGCACAGCGGGTAGGGCGTTTGCCTTGCATGCAGCCAACATGGCCGACACAGGTTTGATTCCCAGCATCCCATATGGTCCCCCGAGCACCGCCAGGAGCAATTCCTGAGTGCATGAGCCAGGAGTAACCCCTGGGCATCGCCGGGTGTGACCCAAAAAGCAAAAAGAAAAAAATAAATAGCTGGGAATGATGACGCTGAACAAGATCTGAGGGTTAAAGTAGGGAAAGGGATATTCTTGAGAAACTTTCAGTATCAATATTGCAAACCACAATGCCCAAAAGGGGTGGGGAAGAGAGAGAGAGAGAGAGAGAGAGAGAGAGAGAGAGAGAGAGAGAGAGAAAGGTGCCTGCCGTAGAGGCAGACTGGGGGGCTTAGGGGGTGATGGGAGGGAACCTGGGGAACTAGGCCATGAAAACCCACAAAAACACGTTCCTCCATCTCTGCGGTGGGGTCCTCTGGAGCCTACTGCCGTCCCCACCAAATCCAGCTGTGCGGTTCCCTGCTGAGTAGCCGGAAGGAGGTGGTGGGAAATGTGCACTGGTGGAGGGATGGGTGTTGGAACCCTGTAGGACTGAAACCTAATTGTGAACAGCTTTGTAAGAGATAATCAAAAAATAATAATAATTTTAAAAAATAAATAAAAAATAAAAATCTGCTCTTTGGGAGTTGCTGACCAGGACTTTTCCTGTGCTGGCGGCAGGGGGAACCTCAGGGGACAGTGAGTGGTGGCCGCTATTCCCCATCCCCCACTACCCCGCTGCTGCCGTGGCCAGCCCCCTTACACAGCCCTAGGGTTTCCCTCTTAGTGCTCCATGACTGTGTCTTGAGGGAGCACTAAGCCCACTGGGGGCTGCAGGAGAGGCCTCGCAGATTCCCACCCTGCCTGCTGTCCACTCATCAGCCCTGGAGAAACCCCAGATGGAGCAGGTCCTGCAGGGCCGAGGTCATCCGCCGAAAGGGGCGCGTGGGCCTCCAGTTCACGGGCGTCCACTCTTGTCCGTGGAGGGTGGGGTGCATGTGTGTGTATGTGGGAGGCAGCGGCGGGGGGGGGGGGGGGGGGGAGGGGGGGGAGGGGATAAGAGACGGAATCATCGAGTTCCTCCCACGTGGCAATGACACGGCTCTTGGCTGTTTCCTCCCGCAGCTGATCACCCCTCACGCCATCCGTGTGCAGACCCCCCCTCGGCACATCCCTGGCGTGGTAGAAGTCACCTTGTCGTACAAGTCCAAGCAGTTCTGCAAGGGGACGCCCGGCAGGTTCATCTACACAGGTAAGCGCCTGCGGGGGGCAGTCTGCATGCAGGCCACTCTGGGTCCAAGTGGGGGACCTCGTGTGTGTGTGATGGACACGGAGGGGTTATTTGCCCTCTGCAGGCAAGGGCAAGGCCCAGTCTCATGCTGAAAGCACCCCCCCCCCCCGCCCCCTTGGGCCGAAAGAACTCCAGGGTCGCGAGGGTCGTGAATTTCCTCCCATCCCAGGGTCGAACCACCAGCAGGTTGGCCCTGGAGACGCAAGAAGTCACGGGTCTGAGTTGCAAGTGCCAAGCTGCCTTTGGCTCATCCCGGGAACTCCTGGCTATGCTGGACCTCTGGCCGGGCTTTGAGAGGGGACCCTGGACCGCATTGGGATGGAGGTCTGGGATGGCACAACTCAGCCCAGCTCGCGTCTGGGTGGCCTCCGGGGAGAGAAATCTGCCACCACCTCCTTCTGACTACTCAGCAGAGAACCATGCAGCCGGATTTGGTGGGACCAGCGGTGGGCTCCAGAGGATCCCCAGAGCAGGGACAGAGAAACGAGGTTTTTTTTATTTTGCTTGTTTTATTTATTTATTTATTTATTTATTTTTGCGGGTTTGCGTGGCCTAGTTTTAACGGCGCAATTACATGGACAAATTGCATTGTGCTGCGACCGTTTACCTCACAGCAGTTTCCCTTTCGTAGGCGCATACGGGGACGGAATAGCACGCACGCGCACGTGTGAGTGTGTGAGTGCGTGTGTGTGCGCGCGCGCGTGCATGCCTACGTGCGTGGGCTGCCCTCCCTCACGCCGACAGGAAGAGCGCGCCAGTCCTGACCCTTGGAAATGCCTCCCAGCCCTTTAAACAAAATGCAGGTTTGGTGCCCGCCCGGCGATTCGTTTTAGTTAATTGAAAATTATAGGATTGACCCAAGAGGAAAATTTTGTTTGCACTCCAATCACTTTTACAAATTAAGGAAAATTACCACAATTTTGTTTAGCTAAGGTTTCACACTGAGTTCAAGACATTAGCTCAGCCATCCCCACCAAGTCAGCACTTTGTTAGCGAAAGCTCGAAACAAAAAAAAAAAAAAATAATAGTCGATGTGGAGGTTTGTGGTGTACACAAACGAAGCAGAGAGAAAGCAGGGTGCTTTCAAGCAGGAGACCAAGTGGTTTTAATTAGGCTCATTGGTTCAGCGTAAGTTTTGAAGAACAATCAAACTCGCAGATTAGCTGTTTCTTTTAAAGCTAGGATTTCTTGCCATTCATTTTTCCCATGAGAACTTCCACATAGCACTACTTTTTTTTTTCTTTCCTCCTTTCTGTTTTTTTTTTCCCCCTGCTCTTTTTTTTTTACAAGCCTCATTACGGGCCTGCAGGAAAAGGGCCGACTGCAACTGGCGATGTTCTTACATTCCCCACGCCGCCATTCCCAAGGCCGGGAGCTTTGCACAATGTCCCGCCCTGAACTCCGTGTTCTGGAACATATTACAAAACCACAGAGGCCAAATGTTTTCTCTGAGGAGTTTGGACGCTATTTTCTTGGCCGAAAACATTTAGGTCTCGCTGTTGCTTATTTACTCTGCTATTATGAAGGAGAAAAGGAGAAGGAGGAGAAAAAGAAGAAGTGTGTGTGTGCGCGCATGTGTGTGCGTGTGTGTCTGTGTGTGTGTGTGTGTGTGTGTGTGGTGGGAGGTGGGGGGAGCAATCAGGCGTGATTCCGCTCGGGGACAGCGTCCTCCCTGCCATTAATGGTTCCATTTTGTGGTCAGCTCTCATTTAGAAGAAATTATTTTTAATCAGTGTTCACCAAAATATCCCCTTGAGCCACCTGGCCATAAAAGTTTAGAGAAGAGGGGGAAAAAAAAAAAACATCCCCATTAAATTACTTAAGTTCTCCAAAGAAAATGGCTCAGGACCCGTCATTATATTTGAAAAAAAATCTTTTTTTTTTAACCATTAAAAAAGATTGCCATCAATTTAAGAAATCATGTCTTGAAAAACTTGCATCGTGCGGGAATGGAGATCAAAGAGGAAAGTATGTGTTGGGTTTGGGGGGGCGGAGTTGGAAGAACTGTTGAGGCAGCTGAGGAAAAAGTGGGCTGGGGTGCAGGCTGGGAGTGATCGGCTGGGAACTTGACGTGGTCACTGGCCACCAGAGGCCACAGACAGGAGGGCTTGGTCTCCGAAGGACTCTCAGATAGTCAAGCCTCTTCTCGGGGCTGGGAAAATCACATTCGGATGAAACTACTGCCAAAGCAGCTGGAGCAATGCTCTGACTGACTGTTCACTGAACTATAATGTGTTTCTGGTTGTTTTGAGTAGTATTTTTTTTGGGGGGGGTACACCCAGCAATGCTCAGGACTCTCTCCTGGCTCTGCACTCAGGCATCACTCCTGGCCAGGCTCTGCAGGGGGACCCTGTGGGAAGTTGGGGGTCGAACCGTGTGCAAGGCAGGTGCCCTCCCTGTTGTCCCATTGCTCCAGTGCCATCCTGGTCTATAACGAAAGCATGTCCTGGCCCCTTGAACGTCTTTTGAAAATGTTTTCTTTTTTTTGTGGGGGGGGAGGGTTACACTCGGCAATGCACAGGGGTTCCTCCTGGCTCTGCACTCAGGAATTACTCCTGACAGTGCTCAGGGGACCCTATGGGCTGCTGGGAATCGAACCCGGGTTGGCCACATGCAAGACAAATGCCCTACCCACTATGCTATTGCTCCAGCCCTGCCCTTAAACATCTTGAGGATCAGTGAAGACGCCATCACGTGTTCCCGGTTGAGACTGCCTGGCCCAGTGGTTGACTCAGTTTACCAGCCAGGCACCCCCATTCTTCAGGGGCGTGGTGACTGGCGTGGGCAGCCTCCCACCTCCAGAAGCTGCTCACACTTTGTCTCCTCTGCTGTACAGTGACTTCTGCCTGGGGAAGGCTCACCCTCATGCCAGTGCAGGGGTTGGGTGGTGGGGAAAGGGAGGAAAAGGGGAAAAAAATAAAGCCTAGTGGGGAGCAGCAACCGCCCCAGCTTACAGTACTGCAGGTGTTTGGCCAGTGTGTGAGAGTTCGTGGGAGACGGGATCATGGCCTCTGAGGGGGTAAGGGAGCTAAGGGAAGCCCAGCCTGACAGGACAAGAAGGGCCAGCGGTGTCTCTTGCTCTGTGACTGCTGGCCTATTCCCGGAGGTGTTGGTCAAGCAGGTCAGCCGGCTGTGGCCTCTTCTCTCCTCTCCCCTCCGCCCTTAAGCAGGTAGGACTCAGGATCGTCCTGGCCTTGGTTGGGGGAGTGGGGTGGGGTCTCTAGCTGTTGATTGACATAAGGCTCGGGATCAATGCATCCTGATTGATTTTTGTTGCTCGGCATGACAGGGAACGTAGGTAAAAGCTGTTAATTAAGGATCTGACCTCTTGTCACTCGAAGCTTTATGGGTAGGAGAACCCTGTCGTGGGGGGGGGGGGGGTTCTGTTACAGAAAATAATAAAGAAAGAAATGGGGTTTTATTCTCTGTGTTTGGAACCCTGGATTTTTCTCATCTGTAAAATGGGGTTTTAAATAGTGCACATTTCTGAGACGGAAGCAGGTCAGTATTGGTCATGAATGGACTTCAGACTGTGCCAGACACCGTTTGGATGTGCCAAAAACAGGAGAATTCTTTCTCTCCTCTCTCTCTCTCTCTCTCTCTCTCTCTCTCTCTCTCTCTCTCTCTCTCACACACACACACACACACACACACACCCTGCAGTGCTCAGAGAACCCTGTCGGTAGGTGATAGGGTGAGCCACGTGCAAAGCCCTTACCCACTGTACTACCTCTTGAATCCACAATGGGAATTTTCTTAAAAAAAAAAACATCTGCAGTATTGGCCATTAAAGCACATTTGGGTTGGTATACGCTCGGCGCTGATTTTCGATTGTGGTTCAAGAAATGGTTTGTTTCTGTTTCAGCATCAGACGTGGAACCAAACGACCTGGGTTCTATTCTGATTTTATTTGGTTGTCACTTCATTCCCTCCTCTCATAAAGTCATGCAGATTTCCTGCCTAATTCCAGGCAGTGATGTCTGTGGCCTGGGGAGTGGAGAGCAAGGGCAGCTTCTGAGAGGGGCCCCCACCTCTTCTCTCTCTCCCCACCTTGGCCCCCGGGGGCCTTCTGGGACCCGCAAGGGTCCATTCTGGGCACTGCATGCTGCAGGCCTGACGCCTCACCAGCCCACAGGGTGGTTGTCAGACCACACGCCTGGCTTCTGCGTGTTCTCCCCAGCGTGGGAAATGGTCTCCCACAACCTCTTTCACGTGGGGGAGGCCTGGACCCCAAGCCGGAGTGAGGAAGGGAAACGCTAGTTTGGAATCTTACACCGGCTCTTCGGGGCCTTTGGGTTGCTTCACAGAAAAGAATGTCAGGTGGAGACGAGGTATGAAGAAAAGCAGTTTTATTTAGAGTGTGAGGAAGGGGAGAGAAAGAGGGAGAGGGAGAGAAAGAGAGGACTCGGTTGCCAGGCGGTGGGTGAGAGCATTAGAGTTGGTTTTCTGGGGCCAGAGGGGGGGTGGTGTCCACCCACCTCCTCTGGGCAGTGTGTGTCAGAGGGAAGGGTGGGCGCAATGCACAGGCTCCCACAGCACTCTCTCTCTCTCTCTCTTTCTCTCTCTCTCTCTCTCTCTCTCACACACACACACACACACACACACACACACACACACACACACACACACGGTGTCGCACACCCCGGGGAGGGCGGGAACTACAGGACAGGCATTTCCTTAGAGATCAGATGGTTTCCTTTCCTCCACGGATCTAGCAGCTTGCTCTTGCCCGGCTTCCAACTGGACAGGACCCAAGAAGAAAGAAAAATTAGCAGGCAGACCCCCCACCACCACTATCCCTCCCCCCCCCCCACACACACACACCCTGCCCTCCACGTGGCCATTCACACACAAAGGAAAGAATTCAGCAGCCTCAGTGGGAATATGGACTCCACTCTCCTGGCCCAAAGGGCAGGTCCTGAGCCGGTGCCCCAGGAGGGGAAGGGGTTTCCACAAAGCTC